ACTACTTCTATCCCCAGCCACAAAATCTGGCAGCCTATGGTCCGAATGGGAAGCATTATCTTCTTATCACTCGTTAGTGTTTGGTTGTTTCCGAATCTGAACTTCACAGAGCTACGAACAACCCTGATCTGCGATCGAACCCTGCTGCTCAGCTGGCTGAGTAATTGGGGCAGCAAAATGCGGCCCATCACACACCGGCTCGCTCCAGTGTCTAAGATGGCTTCTACGCGGGAGGTGGCAACATATGCAACCGCAGGCACACTTCCTAGCTCAAACGTCTCAGCTTCAGCTCGGAAGAAAGTCGGGCTAATCGAGTGTGCTGCCCCAGCGATGCGCTGCCTGAAAGGATTTGGGGCTTTAGGCTTTCGGTTCTTTAAGTTTTGTACCATCTGGCTCAATCTGCATGCAACTTGGCTATGAGAGATGCTGTCAGGACTGGGCTGCATTGCACAAAAGGCCTCGGCGAGCGTGATGGCTTCCTCGGGGAGCTGTTCGAAGACCTCATCNNTCGTGAGGACCCTGGGCCTGAGTCACCGTGGCCTGGGCCACAGATGCGCCGGCCTCAGATTTGGAACCCGGCTTCCCGAACTTAGGACATTCGGCCTTCCAGTGTCCTCGTTCCCCGCACGCTCGACAGTGACTCTTGGCAATCCTCTGTAGCAGTTGCTCCTTTGCAGACTTTCCTTTGCCTTTGCCCTTAAAGCCTTTCCCGCCCTTAGCGCCCTTAGACCCTTGAGCCGGCCAGAACCCTCGGGCTTTGCGCTTGGCAAGCAGGCGAGATCTCGCTTCCAGGTACGACACCAAGGCCTCCTGGAGCTCTGGCGTCTCCTGAAAGAAGCCCTCCAGCTCCTCCTCGAAGGACTGGACCTGCAAAGCATCTTGGTCCTCCACGGCAATCATTGCCTCGATGAACTCGGCATCCAACTCGAAGTCGGGCTCCTCGGAGGAAAAGGTTGTACTGGCCTGGTAGGCTCTCTCCACCTCTTCTGATCCTGCATCCTCTACCATGTGGGCATCATAGGTCTTCGTCTTGATGTTTCCTCTCTGGCCTTGAAAGTCTGAGAAGAACCTTGACCCCAGCAATCTAACAGATGCACAGACCTTCTTGTAAGAGAGCTGCCCATCCAGCTCAACCACAATTCTTTTGCGGTCTTCGGCCGTCAGTGAAGACTGACGGAGAAGAATGTAAGCCCTGACCTCCTCAAAGCTTACCCCTTGGGCGAGGAGCTCTTCGAAGTGAATATCATGCCGAGCCAGGTAGCTGTCATTTGTCTCATCGGCCTTCTGGATGGTCCCGAAGATAGCTCTTTCAAAAGTATCATACTTTTGCTCCACAGCTGTGCGGCCCCATGAGCCCCCAAGTGTATCCACCAGGAGCTTCACACCGCTCACGTCGTTGGCCTTCAACTTGTCAGGCGCAAGGCCTGCTACCTTCTTGAAGGCACTGCCCTCGCAGAGCAGTGCAGCTCTGGGAGCTAGCTGGGAGAGATGCTCCTTCGGCCACATAGCCGCCAAAAACTCCAGCTTCTTCGTATACTCAGTAACATCAGTGGTCCCTGGAATGAACTTGGGGATTGCCGTCCAGGGCAGTTGCTGATAGCCTTGCTCTCCGCTCCCCGCGGAGGAGGTGGCTGTCGATCCTTCAGCAGACGGCATCCCCAGGTCTCACTATCACCAGGTATCCAGCTTTTCCGCCACCAAGCGAAGCGTCAAGCTCCGCTACCAGTGTGAACTCGTATCGAGTTCCCACTG